TTTACATCTTATTAGGTAAAATAAAAATTAAAAAACAAAATGAAAATGAATATATAATATTCTTACCTACATTGGCTACATTAAAATAATATTAATGTAATTTGTGATTTCCAATGAACAATATTGAGCTAGATAGGTACTTGAAAATGTTAATCACCCTTCTGCTTGGGAAAAATAAAAAGTTGTACACAGTAAACTGTGTTAAAATTGTTGGACATTATCAAAACTTATTCACATAAATGTTAATAAATATATTTTTTTTATGGTAATAAAATAATTAGGCGTGGCTACATGATTAAAAATTAAAATATGCTAATATTCTGTTTGAAGAATGTATATAATATAGTATATTGTCTTATGTATAATATCCGCTACAAGCAAACAAGTTATTAGTAATAGATTAATAAATCCAAAAATATTAATAACAATATTTAATATTGTGGTAGGTAGGTACATGATATTGGTACCTATAACGACTATAACTTATAAGCTACAAATCATTGGTGCAAATAGGGGGGGGAGAGGACTTAAGCCCCCAATTCAAAGGTCCGTACTTAGTACTAAGCATATTATAATTTTTAGAAAATAATATAGGAAGATCGTGAGGGTTTAGTCCCCCACCAAAATATTGGGCTATTTGCGCCTATGCTACGAATAATAATATATTATACTTAAACTTTTTGTAAGTCGAAAAAAACACTGGTTCCTGTTATATTATAATTGTTCGATACTTCGAAGCGATTATTTTATTGTTAGCCACTAAATTTTACAGCTTTTTACGTTTTTTTTATGTTTTGAGTTGTTTTCCATTGTTGAGACAGATAAAAATCATTACAGAGTGATATATTATGAACATTGTATAATGTATATTAGATATTTGATACAATTTTCAATGGTGAATAGGTCACCAAATAAATCATGGATACACTTGTCACTTACCTATGTTATATTATGTTGCAGGTATTATAGGTACACTGTTTATAGGCGAGGAGTATTACGTAAATATTATATTAAATATTAATCAATTAAATTAATAATTAATTATATAACAATCAATGATTTAACAATGTTGTTTTAATAATTCCAGAGTATACCTACCAATCCTGACCTAATTTGTTCTAATATGTTAATAGTTAATACGGCTGAATCCTCTAATTTGACTTTGTAGCATATAATTTTATTAAGTGCATGGGTTTGCTCAATTCACGATAAAATAATTTTCTAATAATATTGTATAATTTTTATTTTGAAACAAACATTTTTTTTATTCTTAGTTATTTAAATAGTTAATAGTGCCTTTTCTTACATGGTATGCATTATGTAACAAATATGAATAAAGTTCAATTTTGGATTTGTACCTACGTGGCCCGTGGGAAGTCGGAAGTACATAGGAGGTTATCAAATATCTGTAGTGCCAAACAAAGCAATATAGGCTAAATATTACGAACTAATAATTACATCAAACGGTCAGGATATTGTATTAATTGTAGGTACATTTGTCATTTGCATGTCTATTAAAAATCATATACCTAGATAATAATTTCATAATTATGGTTACGTGCCATTAAGCCGTGAACGTATACCTGCAAAATATGTTGTTATTTTTTCTTTCTGAAAAGTATTGTTTTGTGGGACTTTGTTATATTATTATTTATTATGGATTCTATAATAAAAGCGTTTGCCCCCGGCCCAACAGAGTGCAAGCACTGAAAGCGAATGGCTCCACCCCCGCGAGCATGCCTATGAGCTGCGCATTTATGCACAAACGGAAATTAAAGCTGGGAATTCCAGAAGGAGGGGTTATAAAATGTATCTGATTTTAATTGAGAAACATATCGAATATTATGTTTCAAAATCAAAAATGTGATAATCGGGGATAAACGCATGAAATATTCGGGTGGGTGAGGTTTGAAAAAATTTGTATAATCTTTGTACCTAATGCCCATTGTTATACCTATATTAAATGATAGGTAGGTACATAATTGGTATTATTAATATTTTGTGGGGAGGTTAGCCCTTCGCGGCGAAACGGTCGCGGCGAATGGTCCGGCGGCGAAAAAGTCAGCGGCGAAACGGTGCGGCGGCGAAACGGTCTGCGGCGAAATGGTCTTCGGCGAAACGGTCGCCACGAAATGTCCGGGTTCGCATTCCTTCTCCCCATTTAGATATAATATAAATAAATAATTTATTTTTAATTGTATATTTTTATAATATTTGTAGAAAAACATTCTGGCCGGTAATGATTTTTTTCTATATTAAATTGATATAATATATAAGTTGATTTTTATTACTGTTTTATGTCTAGAAACATTTACCTTATCTCAGGATTACTAAGGTAATCCTAAGGAAAAGTACAGGGAAATAAATCATAATCAACTCAAATGTAGTAATGCAATGTTTTAAAAGAATTTGTATGCATTAGTGCTCTTGATTTGATGTGGGTAATACCCGGGGACCAACAAACCCGGGTACCCGGGTACCAGTTTATTCGGGTAATACCCGATTTTGTGGGTAATCAACGTTTTTGGGTAGTGGGTACCCATTACCCAAAATTTTCGGGTACCCAATGGTTTCTGTTATACGTAAACGGTTGTTTTAATTATTAATTGCACTAGTCTTTATACTTTAATAATTATTTTTTTCAAGTATAATGTTGAATACTATGTTAAAAGCTATTATAAAACCTATATTGTGGATAACGGATATAGTGGCCTTATTCGTTATCTTTTATGTGTATAGCTATACCCAGATAATAAGTAATCACAATCATACAATTAAATAGATAAAATGCAGCACGTGCGGCAATATGATATTATTAATAATACTATATCTGAACTGTGAATTTTGAAGTTCTGCAGCGTGAGTGACCGTACTAACCTCGTACTATACGTGTTATATTTAAAAGTACTGCATTTTTCAAAATATAAAGATGTCTGGAAAAAGAAAAAGTTGGGTTTGGCAGTTTTGCAAAATATGTAATAATGAAAAAGATGTTACTTGCAATATTTGTAATGCCATAATATCATATAATGGATCACCATCGGCAATAAATAAACATTTAAAGTATGTTCATAAATATGATACAGTAACAGGGTCTACAGCTATTGAAATGGATGAGAATGAAAGGTATTATAATTATTTTATAATATTATCACAGAATTAATCTATGATATTTTTACAATAATTATGTATAGTTAATTAATGCAATTATTTTTGAGAGTGTGAAATTTTCTACTTTCTACTCAAGGCAAATACTATAAACGTATGATATTCATTTTATTATATTAATATTTTTTATCTAGATAATTATTCGAATAAATATGTATTCGAATAAAATTTTATCTTAATTAATCATCTAAATAAAAGGCATAAATCTAGTTTAGGGGCCAAGCGATTTTTTCAATTTTTTTTATCGAAACTAATGTATCTCATCGAGTTAAGAACGATGGTGCAATCAGAATTTGTCGCTCTCATTTAGTTCCGAAGTTATGGCCTTCCAACGTTTTCGATTTTACGTTTATACGCATGCGCGCAAGGCGCAACACTACTATAATGATGCGCGGAGGACAATTTTTGTTATTTTTTTGTACTTACGTATTCGGTATACTTTTTTTTTTTGAAACTTATGTACTTATGTAGTATGTACCCTGTGACCTACTTGAGGTGGTGTTGCATAGCAAGTCGGGGGATATTTTAGATTTGCGGAGCGGAGCGACGGCGCCGAGGAGCGTAGCGACGAGTGCCGCTAGCAAGGCATCACTGCCCAGGGCCCATACTACGACAACTTACCCTGTGACCTACTTAAGGTAGTGTTGCACAGGTTAGGTTAGTTTTGTGCAAGCGTATAAACATAAAATTGCGTAGAATTTTTTAAAATAGCAGGGGAATTATATGATCCTGTTAATGTTTTGTTGTTGGAAAATAATTCCGATGACTCTAAATCTGACGATGATACAGAAGACAACTCTGAATAATAATAAACTTTTGTAAATAAAAAGATGCTTTAAGAATCGTTTTTTTTTAATTATAATTTTATATTATAGTAAAATATATTTTTAAAATCAATTTTTTTCCGGGTTTTTGGTATACTATAAAAAGTAAGTAAAATAGGGAAAATATGATTGCATCAAAAACTTAGGCTTACAAAAACACACATTTATAAAAAAAAAAATTTTTAAAAAAGTCGTTTTGTGTTATTTTTAACGACGATACCATAATATTTTTAAAAAACGATTTTTCCCCCGGTTTTTTTGGTATAACTTTAAAAGTAAGTACAATATCGAAAATGTGATTGCACCAAAAACTTGGGCATACAAAAACCCACATTTAAAAAAAAAAATTTTAAAAAAGTCGTTTTGGGCTATTTTTACCGACGATACCGTGATATTTTTCAAAATCGATTTTTTACCGGTTTTTTTGGTATAACTTCCGTAATAAAAAAGAGCGACAATTTCTCCAAACAGATTCAAATTCAGGGCCTTAAAAAACACATTTTGAAAAAAAAAAAAATTGAAAAAATCGCTTGGCCCCTAAACTAGATTTGTTCCAAATAAAATTTCATTCGAATATCGCCCAACTCTGGGTTGAACAAAAAATTGATCGAGTCTCGTAAAGTATCTATCCTATAGAAAATTTGACGGAGATGACCAGTGATTAATTATTTATCAAATATCTTAGTAGTTTTTTTTTTTGAACACTGTGATATACAATATACATATACACAAATAAAAAATAATAATGAATATAAAAACCAAACAGCATTTTAAATCAGTGTATTATTGACTTTACTTAGAATCTAAAATCACTGCTAAATTTATTGTATGAAATATAATTTTTTATTTAGTTCAAGAACATCAATTTGTACTGCTTCATTATCAAGTAGTTCTTCAGTAAACGCAGAAATTGCTGATAGTGCACAACCTACTAGGAAGAAAAGACGAAGAAATAACGATAACTATAGTGCTGATAGACAAGAACAAATCTCCCAAGCACTTGCATATATGATTTCTGCGAATGGACTCCCAATTTCATTTGTTCAAAGTGGTGGATTTAAACACTTTATGTCACTTGTGGAACCTGGGTATCAAATTCCCGTAGCTTCAACAATATCATCGCGATTGCAATTGTTGTACGGTGAATTGCGTGCAAAAATAATGAATTCTTTGAGCTCAGTGTCATTTGTAGCTTTGACAACGGATGGTTGGTCGTCAAGAGCCCAAGAATCATTTATATCAGTAACAATCCACTATATTAATGATAACTGGGAATTGAAAAATTATACTTTATGTGCAGAGTATATAGAGGAAAGGCACTCGTCTGAGAACTTGGCATTTATGTTAGAAATGGTAATTGCAGAGTGGGAATTAGATGGAAAAGTTCATGCAGTTGTGCATGATAATGCTGCGAATGTTGTATCCTCAGTTCTTTTAGTTGAAAACGTGGAGAATAGTATTAGTTGTGCTGCACATATAATACAAATTTGTGTGAAAACTGCTTTAAAATCGGTGAAGTTATATTCACTCATATTGAAGAAAGCTAGTACTATGGTTAGTCATTTTCATCATTCCAATGTTGCAGCTCTTGCTTTACGAAAGAAACAACAGCAGCTTGGATTGAAAGAACTCAAACTAATTCAAAGCTGCGCCACTAGATGGAATTCGTCTTATTTGATGTGTGAAAGACTTGTAGTAAATCGAGGTGCTATCATCGCAGTTTTAGCAGACAGAGATATAACTTCTGCTGCGTTAGCTTTGAAACTTGAAATAAACGAAGGGGAATGGACAGAAATGGAATCAATGATTAAGCTCTTAAAGCCTTTGCAAGTTGCAACAGTGGTATTATGCGAGGAAAATGTTACGATTTCTATACTCCGACCAATTATTTATGGGTTAATCAATAAACACATGCTAATAAAATCTGAAGACAATGAAAATGTAAGAAACTTCAAGGAAGATATAAATCAAAATTTACAAAAGAGATTTAAAATGAAGAGGCAGGAATATGATGAAGTAGTTATAGATCAAATATCTTGTTTTCTAGATCCAAGATACAAATATTTAGAGACAGAAACTGATGAAGTAAAAGAAAATGTAAGAAAAAGTGTACAAAATGTATTACAGACAACGAGACCAGTTGAATCTAATGAAGTCGTAAGTGAGGAGATTAGTGCAATGGATTTTTTATTGGATGCAAAATCATATGGGGAAAACGAAAGTGAATTCGATATGTACTTACGTGAACCTCAATTAAACCATAATGTATCCAATCCCCTTATATGGTGGAAAAATAATGAGTTGAAATATCCAAATCTGGCATTGTTAGCTAAAAAATATTTATGTGCACCGGCAACATCAGTTACATCGGAACGTTGTTTTTCCACAGCAGGAAACATTGTAACATCTAAAAGAAGTTGTCTTTTGCCAGAAAACGTTAATTTACTGACGTTCTTAAAAAGGAATCAAAATGCCTTCAATCGTTGATTTATTATTTTATTGTTATTAATATTTATATTTATTTATTCATTAGTTTATGGGTCTAGGCCACCATCGATTTATTGTTAATTATTACATTGTTATAAAATATAAATTATCTAATTTTGAGTTATTAATATAAGATGTTAATATTATAATATAATATTTTTGTTATCTGTTAATTTTTCTGGGATTTTTTTTAAGTGATTAATTAATAAATTTCCTTTTTTTCTTCATATTTTGTTGTTTTTATTGCATATTTTTAACGCATATATCTAGCGATAGTTAAGGTCATATTATAGCGCATATTTATGCAATTTAAGTGCTATAAATCCCAACCCTGGTAATGAGTTTACAAACCATAACGGGTACCCGATCCGTAACGGGTACCCAATCAATAATGGATACCCGAAATATTGTAAATCGGGTAATACCCGTAAAACCAGGGTACTCGGGTACCCGGGTAGTACTCGGGTACTCGGGTATCGAGAGCACTAGTATGCATACCTGGATATGTTACACTAGGATTATCCTCTAAATCTAAGTGTGTTGTTTTAACATGGTTAGTTAAATCACATTCTTTAAATTTTGCAGGACACATTGCACAATTTATTACTTTTATTACGGACAGTATCACGTTGCTTTAAAACTAAAATAAACAAAAATAAATTAAACTAAATATATGCAGTTAAGTATATATGCAAGAATTAATATGCATACCTGTATCCGTTACATTATTGGCTTCACCTGATTTGCTATCCATCTCTGTTGTATCACGTTGCTTTAAAACTAAAATAAACAAAAATAAATTAAATTATATAAACTAATTTAGTAAGTATTTTTTTAATTAAAATAATTTAAGTAACATTAATCGATCATTCTACTCGGCCAACTCACAGCTCCTTCACACATAACATGATCAGCAAATCTATCTCATTTTTGTCTAGCTTCAATAAGATAATTTCTCCGAGTTGATGTTGCTATATTGATAAGTCCAAAAGGTCCTGGTTCATTTCTCCATGATCCAGGTAAGATACGGCCTGTCTCATGATCTTCAATATCTACCGATATTGAGTTACTCTTACCACATTTTTTTCTCAACCAATTATGCAATGCACATGAAGCTTTAACTAATTTTATAACAGATTCTGGTCAAAAGTGGTATTGGTTTTCTAAAAATCCGAAAACGGCTAGCTATTATTCCAAATCCATTTTCGACAATGCACCTTGCTCTACAATGTCTGTAGTTATTAGAAATTGTAATTATGATCTACAAGTGCTAAAAGAACTATGCTAAATGTTCCTTTGTAGTTAAAATAATTTGAACGATTTTCGATTGGAAGTGAATAAATTTTTGTACGCTGAAAACGAACATTTTAAGTCAACTGTTGTTATTGGACAGTTTTTCATACACGTGAGATCATTTGAACTCCAATCTTCGGGTATATCATCTGTGTCTTATTTTCCATTTAGTATATCTGATATCTTTAAAACTGCTTGGTAAAGACTTTATTTTTGAAAAAAACAGACCCAAAATATGCAATTTTCATTGATATATTTAAATTCGTTACAACTTGAAAGAAATTTCTGCCTTACTTAGCAATTAATTGGACTATTTAATAAAAATATGCAAATTCAATAAGTCCCTAGCCTTAATAATTATATAATGTAATAGTGTCACTGACACACAGCTTCCTCATCAGAACAGCATATGACCGGTTGCATAGTATTCTCATGAAGGGATCGTTGGCTTGATCCCGAGAGCCGAGGGCGCTAACTAAGTATGGCACGACTGTTGCCTTGCACCCATGTAGCAATGCCTAAAGTTGCTCATATTTGCCCTTCTTCTTCGTCGCCACCGCCTCAAATGCAGCGAGCCGGTTGTCAAAAGGCACGGTGACATCCACGACGAAGACGTTTGGGGCCTTCTTCAGAACGAGATCCGGTCTCAATCCCTGGTGGTCCAGGAGTTGATTCTCGGAGTGGACCTCAAACTTCGTGGATCCTGCTTTCTTGATTCTGGCGACTATGGCGTTATGCCTCGCCATGTAGAGCGCGGTGTCCTGCATGCAGTGGTAGGCTTTCATTTATGTACCCATAAACAAAAAAAAACCATACGTCGTCAGGGCTACACTAGAATAAATCTAAAGTCATAAAGTAAAAAATATAGCATATTAATTCTCGAACGAAGAGGCTGATTGGTACGTTGCCGATAAGGCACGGAATTGTCCGACTGCCGACGGATCAAAACGGCAAAAACCATCTTCATCGTTCCGCGACTTCCGCCCTTGACCAGGCCTGACATGACGTACGGGGAACAAGTAGTTTACCCGTTTCCAGTCGAGGTGACGAGTCTCCCCAAAGGAAAGTACTGAAAACGTTCATGTGCTATAAAAAAATACTTTCATCACGATTGAAATTTCTGGTCTCGGCTAACCGCCCTATGCAACCCAACCTCGTCAATGCCGAGTTCATTCGCTCGTCCACATAATAGGACCAGTTCTTTGACGAATTGTACAATACACCTAAAGTGAGGCAAAAGTCCAACAACCTATGATATGATAAGTTAACAGTTGTTAACCTAATTTTTTGTTTAACTCAGTTAAGTCAAAAGATATATGAATATTTTCAATTAACCTATTAAGTTAAGTTAAGTTATTTTTTTTTTTTTTATTATTATATCTATATGAATACCCAGTAATATGGCTTAAAATAATAAAAATCATAAATATTATTGAGCACAGGAAATAGCCAATAGCTTTTCTATACATAGGTACTGACTGAATTAATAGAATTATGTACCTAGTAGGTACGAAAAGCATATAAAATTGAAAATGCCGAAACAAATACAATATTTTGATTTATTAATACAGATAAGTACTAAACATATTACACAGGCTAAGTCTCCAGTTAATGTAGACTGAATGTATTGAATGAATAAAAAATTCTATAATTTAATAATTTAATCAAAAAACATAAAAATAAATTTATTTTACTGGACACTGATAATCACATCATATTTACACAAACACTGAGACACGGTATTGTAAATCTTTCGTGCTGAGAGAGCCGAGAACGAAAAATGAACCCATGTTGGGTATGACTTTTTTGTCTACTGACTATATTGACTGCTTATAAATATACATGAGCATAACCCAATTAGTTTTAATTTAAAAATAACCTATTTATGCCGAAAATATTTTATAATAATATATTCTTGAGAATCGTATATTTTTGATTTGTATCTATCAATAAAATAAAATAATATCATATAACTTATCAGTTATTAGCATGTATTAATTATTATTATTACAATATGCCCGTATGCCGCAGTATGGTATGGAATATCTTTATATCAATGATACACCTATATATGTTATAATGTTGATGGCCTACTGGTCGTAGTAGTGGGACGACCAGTAAACGATAATTCTGCGTATTTTGTTCCGACGTTAAGTATTTTGGCTTTTCTATCTAACAAGTATATATACAAAGACCCGTCGGGCCAATATCGATATCCCTCAGGGATGACTGGCAGTTCATCCTGTGCCAGAAGATCCGATAGGCCGTTGCACTGGCGTATATTAAAATTCTCTCCTATTACCGGCTTGCTAATCACCATCCGAATTATTCTTAACTGCCTATAGTCTTCATCGTGCACATCGTACAACTGTGGACAGAACGGAAAAATACAGCGATAGAGAGCAAGAAAATTAATTAACCATAACTAATATGTATAAAATATGTATATATAAGTACACTGAAATCCACCCTCAATCTCCATTTACAAACATCGATAGATCTGCAGATTTCACTGTAAGATTAGGGAGGTTAGTTGTTAGTTGTGTATTAGATATAATATTATATTTAACATTATAAATTCTATTTATTCGATATAAAATAATATATATAATATGTGAATCGTCAAACCGTTAAATAGCGTTTATTTATTTTAGATTTAATGGGCACAGGCCCAATTACATGTAATAATAATAACAGTCGTTTGTTAGAACAATTTAAAGAAATCAGTGAAACAATATACAATAATTAATACTTATAGCTGAGAATGGATTTACCATAATTCTTAAATGAGTTAAAGTTTGGTGAAAAGAATAGATACATTTTTAATCTATTGATAGTTTTCATAATTCTGTTATGGGGGTGCTAGGTAGTTATCTATTTCATTGCTAAGATATAAATTATTTATATACTGGGGGATTCGAGCAAGAATATGAAAGGAGAAACGACTTAAGAAAACATGACACTCAATATTATCGTTGAGATGCTTGTATGAGAAGTATAAATCTAATAGTAAAAGACGCTGCTCAAGTGTTTCAAGAGGTGTTTGGGGTGTACAAAGAATGCAGTTTTATAGGTATGAAACATTTAAAAGATGGGAAACGTAAAAATTTTTGATGGATAAAAATTAACAGATATGTATTGAGACCAAATAATAATTATTCTTTTGTAATTGTTACAATAACCTATTCCTTGAGAATACATTTTTTTATATAATGATCTAAGTACCTACACCAGTGGTGTATTGGTAAATAAATGTATGGATATACGCACCTAAAAGTAGTTGAATATACCTATACACTCGTATAACTTCTTTAAACAATTTTTTCACTCCACTCGAAAAATCATTACACTTAATATTTGATAATCTTTTATTACTTACACTAACCTTTCATGTGAATATGTATATGCAGTCTCGTATATAGTCACCCTATATTCACCACCACCCCGAAATTAATTCCTGTATACGCCACTGTGTGTAATATGTACCAAGTATCAATATTTAACTTGTTGAAGTACACAGATATACAGAAGTTAAAGGTAAATAAAAATAATAAGTATAATGATACGATGTACAATAATCACAATACGATGACTAACTTGATAAATCAACGACTAACTATGTATACCCGGCTACACTACACAAGACACATATGCTGTAGTATTATAAAAAAATGTATAGTCAGCGTCTGCTGAACTAGAGTGTGAATATATTACTTAAACACTACATTATATAGTGTGTTCTGTTTATAATTCCAACATAACTTATTATTTTTTTTTTAATTAATTCAATTCGTAAATATAAAGAATACAACTTTTTACTATCAAACTTAAAAAAAAATTGTACTGTAAAATAATGGACTATACTAATAAAATAATAATTAACTTTAGATAATATACAGTATTTATTAGCCTGTATTATCTTTTAATCTATGTTAATAACATATCATAATTTAAATATTATTATAAATCATTTTAACGGCAGTTTCTGATCGTCTTCGTAAGAACCCGAAGTCGGGTAAAATGTAATCGACTTCATGCTATTTCTGGACAGTGTACTTAATGTCATAATAAAATATTATTGTGTTAATTTATTTATTATTATTATTATTTTTAACTTATGTTTGGTGACAATATGACTGAATTGTCTGTCATAAATCGGAAGCGTCCGAATACCCATAAAATACTAATTTTTGTAAAGGCATACTTATAAATCCAAAATTATTGATCCGGGTATACTACGTATAGATCCTACACAATAATAAGTGTCTATTATTTCACCAACCAGCCGCGTAAAAACGAAAAACCTATAGTGGGTACCTATGTCGTATGTATATAAGAATGATCTTCAATAACCTGTGTCTCCCTCTCACCACCAGTGCCTATTGGTTTAATAATCAAATTGGTTGGACAAATTACCCTATACTAAAATAGTATACAGTATAAAATAACAAGTAGATAAACATAGTAAACTTACGGCACATCTGTGTGATCGTGTTTTGGTTTTATTTTGAATTGACCCTGCAGTATATTCCAGTAGTGATCTTCACTACTGGAAAATAAACATAGGGGGGTGCTTGGGGGTGCTTAGCACCCCCAATCTTCAAACTAGCACCTTCAATTTATTTCAGTATTTCACCAATCATTTATAAATTATTGTGGGTTATTGGTTCGGAATTTTTTTTTCCATTTCAAATATTGACAACTGTTCACGAATTTACGGTTAAAACAGTATTGTGTGAATGCACGTTTCAGTGTTTCAGTTTTTGTCAAAACATTAAATAATATTATCATATTATCATATTATACAGCAATTATTTTATATCATATTATTATAGAAAATTGTATTATCTTACAATTCACGGTTGGCTACGAAATATTCTATTTATAACTTTGGTTATTACTTAGTTTTTACTAAAATACATAAATACAATGTGTCCCGGGGTGAAGTGACCGGCCGACGTCATATGAAAGTATACCCAAAATGATCAAGAAATACCCTTTAAAGATCGAGTGGGTCTAACTTTTTTATTTTTTAAGTTATGGGCAGTTAACCCAGATAGCAAATTTACGTTCTTAAAATATCACAGTAATGTTAAAAAAATAACATTGTTGTTTTTATAACATTTCCAGATGGTTCTAAGAACCTTTTATAATTTTTTTATAACATTCTCTTAGAGTTTTTTGGCCGCGGAAATGTTGTTCTATTAATATTTTAACATAATATTATTATAATGTTAAGCCCAACTTATTGAAACATTATTAAAATGTTAAATAATAGTATCAAAAGATGTTATATTAACATTAAAATCTTGATTTTATAATCATGTATATTATATTATATTTATATAATAATAGTGGCACTTTCCCATGCTCACTTCGCTCACCAACCAACCAGACTATAGTCTATATAACTATAGTTATTTTTTACAATCTTATTATTTCAATACTATATTGGTTTTTAGTTTATGAATTCATGAAACAATTTTGTATATTAGAGATACATATTATAATTGATACTTGAGTGAACAATATAATTATATAAAACAACTTAATGAATTTGTAAGACTGTTATTAGCTGTTAACAGGCCAATCAATAATATACCATTATACACGATCATTATATTTTTTTGTTCTTGGTTATAAACCTTTTTATAAAATAATACAGTGTTTGTAGAAATAAGACATTATTTATTATATTAATATGTATACAGCATCTGGTGCTCAGCGTAATGTAAAAGAATATGTAGAAACTAGAAGTTAGCACAGTTTTGTGCAACTAGAATAAAAAATGATTATACTGTTTACTAAAATGTGTATTGTGCACAGTTTACTATTAAAATTCATAATAATAATAATAATTCCATATTAATTTTAATATAAAAATTAACCTAGTACAATTTATGAATGAATGAATTAAATTAATTTTTCTTTTGAATTATTTTTAGTAGTTGCTTGAAGTCGGTAAGGAGCATGTGAGAGCCGAATTCCCAACGGTTCATCTATTTCTTTGTCAGTGTGTGTTTTGTATTTCATGTGTAGTCGTAATGCATCTGAAACAAAATTTTTTTACAATAATTAATAGATTGTATGTATAATAACAACGATATTGTTAAACAGTGTCCAAGAAGGAGGAGGGGACATAGTTTTTCCCACCAAAATGTTGATAGTGAATAAGAAGTAATTAAATTATTTTTATTTCATATGCATATTATTATAATCGTTTAAGATCTGCCTGTTTTGTGAAAAATTACATTATAGCCAATACTAATAGGTATACTAATAATATGACATTTTTTTGAGTTATTGGTATAAGTCAGACATTTTAATTGCAATGACTAATTAAATGACTAATTATCAACAGTGGTATATTTTCAATATAAATTATAAACAATTAATTTATGCTTACCTATAATCAAACGGTAGCAAGCCAAATTTGTAAATGATTTTTTTTGTTTAAAACCATATAAAGAATAGTTAGCCAAAAATGTGTCATCAAACATACGACCCATAATTCTTCTAACACTGTTTCTAATATCTTTCTTTCCAACAAATAAAGATATTTTACTAACCTATTGGTGGATCAAAAAATAAAAAAATATATTGATGTACTTATTATAGCAATGAAACCATGTTTTGAAATATTAAATAATTACCAAAGATTTTCTGAATTCTTTATCTTGAATTTTGTTATGCAACATCAATAAGTCTTCATCACTTTTTATAGGAAACAATGATTCTATGTCTACACCGTCAGATATTATAGTTGTTCCTGATGAGTTGTTCATAATTTTTTCAATATTTTCATTTATAGAGTGACATAAAACCTTTAATGCTTGAATTTCGTATTTCAAGAAAGAGAAAGATGTAAGCGATATGTTATAAAAATCTGTAAAATATAAAAATGATTGGTATATTATTTTAAATATTAAATAAATCTATATGCATTTTAGTTAGTTTGATAGTAACATATAGTTTTAACCAATTACAGAAAGAATACCCAAGGAAAAAACCCAGTTAAAAGTTTAAGACACGTAACATGATATTATTTACCTAATACCTAATAAATCTAGTTTTTATTAAATATAAATTTAATACATCCATTATAATAACAACTAAAGGGGTACACGAGACACCTACAATACAGCAGAGTTAATTCCCAGGTTTTTATCAAGAATTTACAATTAAATATAGAACTATGTAAGTAGCTAGTAAGTACACAACTTGACTCAAACCAGTCAAAATTTCAATAATGATAAAACTACAAATAGAAATTATCTAGACTGTAATACCATCTTCGCTCAAAATTGTTTTTTATAGTACATATAGGTCGGTTTCATTGAATTCAAATAATATATTATTCCCATTACAGTAACCTACTCAATGAAATCTCTGCCTCCTACACCTACTTAGCAGAGCTACTTCCCCATTTTATACATTAATCATCTTTATAATAAACACGTGCACATTATTGTTAATGGTAAGTAAATAGAAAAACTAAAATGTTACCTCATATCATATTTTGGTTTTCAACAGGATATTGCAGTTGGCGCTTAACAGAGTTGTTATTAATTTTTGAATCATTTTGATTATTAAATTCTGTTAGATGTAACTTGTTAGTAGCTTTAGATTTATCAAAATTATTTGTATGGCTTTTGTTAATATCAATTTCTATGCTTACTCGCCATGGTCCACTAGGCGATGTTATAACAATACTAGGACTTGGAATTGATTTTTTCGGTGTTACTTTCAATGAAGATGTTACATCTAAAATTAATTATCACTTTACTATAGGTACTAAGGTACACATAACATAAACTATTTAAGGGGATTGGAAGCGGCGATTTTCTGTCTTTATCTAACACACGTGGAACATAGGATTATAGACGTGTTCTATGTCCAACGTACCGATTAATCTAATGAAGCGATAAGAATTCTGAAAACAGATTTGAATTTGTCGTCAAGTCTACTTGAGATCGACTTTCCCACATTTTTGATTTTTTGATTTAAACTTCTCCAAAAGTTGAAATTTGTAAATTTTTTAAGTACTTTTTATAATATATAATTTTTATGATTTTGGTGGGACAATATCAAAAATGTGGGAAAGTCGATCTCAAGTAGACTTGACGACAAATTCAAATCTGTTTTCAGAATTCTTATCGCTTCATTAGATTAATCGGTACGTTGGACATAGAACACGTCTATAATCCTATGTTCCACGTGTGTTAGATAAAGACTGAAAATCGCCGCTTCCAATCCCCTTAATAAGTTTATAATATATTAATATTCAAGATAAAACGTATTTAACGCATTACAATATATTTAATGTATTAACTGATATGACTGGCATTACCAAATTCCTGTTCCAAATTGTTTTTTTGTTTCACAGTCCATGTTTGATCTTTATCAGAATCATCAAAAATGCTAAGGTTAGAACTATCACTGTCAGAATCATCGGCTATTTGATTAACGTTAGAATGCGATTCAAATGAATCTTAACCAATAATATCTGAAACAAAAAACGATTATTACTTGAAAAATAAAAATAATATTACATATTATAGTGGATAATATATTATATACCTTTCACAGGATTATACTGAGGTGGTAAACTTGAAGAACTTGCATGTAGATTTTCTGAGTTAAGTTTTACTTTTTTGAACGGTTTGCATTTAGGAGATAGTCTGCGTTTTAAATCATACTTTGGTTGGTTAAAATTTTCATCTTCGGTCCATGATATATCTGATTTTATCATGGCTTTGGGTAATTTTGATTTGGCTTTATCAAAAGAAGCTATAAAGTAAATATATTATGTAATCATACAAATAGATTTTTTTTTTTTTTAATACAAAATAAGCAATGTACTATCGTCTTTCACTAACTATATGTTTTTGCAGACATTTTTCGTACATTATTGTAAAAATAAAAATCATTATAGTTTGGCTTTACTCGACTTTCGATAATCTTTTGAGAGTTTTTTTGATTTTTTGGCCAGGCACAAGTATTTTTTTTAACCATATGTCAGGTACAACTGACACCGTATTGTCTTCAGTGAAGTTTACAATATTCCACCCAAACATTATCTAAATAATCAAGAATTAAATTATTTACTGATATTTATTAACTAATTTTTACAAACTAATGTCCTATGCTGCAGAGTCGTAGGTATTTAAGACCAAAAGAAAAAAACAATTTTTACAATTTAATAATGCTTTAATAGGTATTACACTATTTTAAATGTGTATCTGATTGAAAGTGCTCTAAACATTTGTTTTCTGTCTGTCCCGCACATAATAAAGTAACAAATGTATTATTACATACCTACTTCCATGATTGTGAGTATCTGGTTTAATTTATGGAAAATTTACTGATTTATTAGATGGTTATTCAATATTTAAATTTTTAAAGAAGATATTAGGTAAGTTAAACACTATAGAAATAAAGTTAATTTAAAACGAGATTATCTTGATAAAAGATTAAAATATTAAGAAACTATCCAGTTAATGCACAGAACACATTGTTTATAAAATGTAGAATATGGTATAATATATAGGTACCTATTTGACCTAAACTAAACCAGTCTTAATCTTATATACGCTCGTATTATGTGCAAGATAGACATAGAAAATAAATGCTGGTGTTGAAAATTCCTTAAATTTAAATGATAAATACATAAATGAAAAAATTAGTTTTAAATGATGTCAGTATGTATTACTGGCATGGCTATGTACTTGCCATCATGAACAAATATCATCATTTTTTTTTTATGTCATCTTCAGTCCAGCATTTAATTTTTTTAGATAGTTTTTGTACAACAAATATATTTAATATTGTTGAGTTAATAGGGCTTTCATATAATGCTGATTTTATTTTAAATTGTTGGCCAATACTTACTATATTACCATTATCTCTTAAACAAAAATTTAAGCATCTTACAATATCTTTATTTTTGGTTAAAATATAACTATTTTTTTCTTCTTGAACTTTAATTTTAATAGTTTTGTATAAAAGAGTATAATATTCAAGAACATTTAAATTGTCTGGTAATGGGCCATTAGTATTTTGATTTTTTAGTACCGGTTTTTCTTCTAGCAATTGTTTAAATGTATCTTTATTACTATTGTTTAAATTTATATAATACTTTTCATTATACCTATTAATAACCTGCTGTAAAGGTTTGTCATGTTTTCTCAAAAATGACTTTAGCTCTTTCATGAAGTTTTCAAAAACAAAAGTGGAACAGTTATCCAAGGGACCACACCTCAAATAATCATCACATATGTGAAGTAGTCCATGAACGTTATGTGAAACAAATTGTTGCCCATAAATGTTTTGAAAACTCATAACAAAGAAATCTAGTAACTCCTTTATAAATATATATTAAGTGTCATAAAATTTGTATAACACGCTTCAGTAATGATATTTTTTAAAACAATTGGTCCGGTGTATAACAAAAAAAACCGATTCTCTGTGGCTCTGTTTTTGACTAAGACTGTTTGATAGTTTGAATAAATATCTTTTTCATTTCATCGTCATTGACAACAAAATTGTTTAAATAGTAATTATATTCATTTATATTTAATGGAAACTTGTAAAAATTGTTGAAATTTGAAAAGTTAATTGATTTTTGTCTAACCAAAATAAAATCTAAACTTGATCCATGTCTGGAATATAATTCATTTATTTCTGTTTGATCTACTAACCATTTTACACAGCTTTTACATTCTCTGTCTAATTCCGTTTTAGTTTCTACACTTAGAAGTTTAGTGAAACTACATGGAATATCAAGAATATTATAGTTTGAAACTAACTCAATATGATTTACTTCTTCTAGGTCATTAATTAGCTTTACTTTTTTTTTTTGGAATAAATAATTCTGAAATTGTTTTTCCTTTCTTGTATTTTTGCTCACCAGCTCTTGAAGGTTTCCCCCATTGTTTCTCAAAATCTGTTTTAGACTTAGCATCTTCTTGATTAATATAGTGTACCAATGCAACAATATGTTTACACTTCCTCCCAGCACCAGCTGGACACTGACATTCTGCATTAGTAATATTCCTGGTAGAGTCCAACTTAATTTAAAATAAAAAGTAAACATACAATTTAAATATAAGTAGTAACTAATATACATATTATAGTTTTACTCTTTTGCTTACTTCAAGTTTAACCTCATATGGTGGGTTACTAACAGATGCTTGTCTAATTACAAGTGATTTAATAAATGAAATACCATCATTAATTATTACTTAAGTGCAATTTATTACATGTCCACAGTTAGCCAAGTTCATGCCTTATTTATTATTTTGTACAGCTTCATAATATATGGTTTGAAAACCACAAGTTATTACGATATCTGGATTAGATGTAATTTTTAAAAATTTGTGTTAACACAACATTAAAGCTTAATAAACTTAATTAATTAGGTATTGACTGTCTAATGTGCAATAATATGAATTATTTGAGTTGGCTTATTAGTTATTATTTTTGTCTTTTTATCTGTTAGGTATCTTATCTATTTAAAGTATGAAAAATAATAGTAAATTATATAATAATATTAAAATGTCAACACTGCTTATTGCAAATAATATTATAAATTACAATAATATTAATTTAATATTTCGCGACCCTCGTGCTAATACCTCTTATCTCACTTTTTTGAAATTGTTCAGGAGAGACAATAAACTAAATAAATCACTTTTCAATCAGAAAAATTTAATTTTTAGACTTTAACTTTATTTAATAACTATGATTAACTAGTAAATTGTATTAATTTCAACAATTTAGACAATTTTTTTTTATTTGTATGAGTTAAGTGTTATTTCGAAAATTTATGGGAGATGCGTGTTATTGTCATTAGGAGATTCGTGTTGTTATCATTAAATTATATTAGATAAGTGTTATTATTTACCATTAATAATAAAAAAAGATTAATTAATTATTAATATTTTCTTATAAATAAATAATTTACACGTTATGATATTCAATTTTAAAAAACATAACCTTTATTATTATTTATCATAGTAAAAACAGATAAATATAAATTGAACAAAAAATAAAATATCAACTTGTATATTATTAAAATAGAAATTAATAGAAATCAACTTATGAAAAATAAAAACAAAATAATAGAAACCAACTTGTTAAAAATAAAAATAAACAATATTTAAAACTTAAAAACAATAAATTTATAACTTATTTATGTTAGGAACATTAATTGTCATTTTAATTAAAGGAAATATTAAAAAAAAAAGTTTGAAAATTTTTAAACTTTTGTAGTTTTGCGAGCCTTTAACTGTTGCTCGTGTGGTAAATTATCATAGAAATCATGCACATTTCTTGGCAAAACACCTTTTAGTTTCTGCAAATCATTCCACTTTGAAAGTGTTAGTACATTTCTACTTTGGTATAGGTTTGGTGCTTCTTTGTTGAAATCAATTATTTTTCTGGAACGATTATATTGAGGAATTTCCTGATACTCATCATCAAATTTTAACTTGAAATAAATTTTTTGAGAAATCGGATCATATTTTAATGCCCTAATATCCTTTACTTCTGGGTCTCCTTTTGATTTCCTCTGATTTCTCTGATTTTCTCTGATTTTAATATCAGATTCTATATTATCAATATCAACAGTTTGATTAGATAAATCATCAACACCAGCTGCAATTATAGGATCTAAAAAATAATTTAAAATATATATAACACCACACATCATAAAAATATAAATATTCTAGTTAAAAATAATACCTGAGATAGTCATCATAATATCAGATTCTATATTATCAATATCAACAGTTTGATTAGATAAATCATCAACACCAGCTGCAATTATAGGATCTAAGAAATAATTTAAAATAAATATAACACCACACATCATAAAAATATAAATATTATGTTGAGTTAAAAATAATACCTGAGGTAGTCATCATAATATCAGATTCTATATTATCAATATCAATAGTTTGATTAGATAAATCATCAACACAAGCTGCAATTATAGGATCTAAAAAATAATTTAAAATAAATATAACACCACACATCATAAAAATATAAATATTCTAGTTAAAAATAATACCTGAGATAGTCATCATAATATCAGATTCTATATTATCAATATCAACAGTTTGATTAGATAAATCATCAACACCAGCTGCAATTATAGGATCTAAGAAATAATTTAAAATAAATATAACACCACACATCATAAAAATATAAATATTATGTTGAGTTAAAAATAATACCTGAGGTAGTCATCATAATATCAGATTCTATATTATCAATTTCAATAGTTTGATTAGATAAATCATCAACACAAGCTGCAATTATAGGATCTAAAAAATAATTTAAAATAAATATAACACCACACATCATAAAAATATAAATATTCTAGTTAAAAATAATACCTGAGATAGTCATCATAATATCAGATTCTATATTATCAATATCAACAGTTTGATTAGATAAATCATCAACACCAGCTGCAATTATAGGATCTAAGAAATAATTTAAAATAAATATAACACCACACATCATAAAAATATAAATATTATGTTGAGTTAAAAATAATACCTGAGGTAGTCATCATAATATCAGATTCTATATTATCAATATCAATAGTTTGATTAGATAAATCATCAACACAAGCTGCAATTATAGGATCTAAAAAATAATTTAAAATAAATATAACACCACACATCATAAAAATATAAATATTCTAGTTAAAAATAATACCTGAGATAGTCATCATAATATCAGATTCTATATTATCAATATCAACAGTTTGATTAGATAAATCATCAACACCAGCTGCAATTATAGGATCTAAGAAATAATTTAAAATGAATATAACACCACACATCATAAAAATATAAATATTATGTTGAATTAAAAATAATACCTGAGGTAGTCATCATAATATCAGATTCTATATTATCAATATCAATAGTTTGATTAGATAAATCATCAACAAAAGCTGCAATTATAGGATCTAAAAAATAATTTAAAATAAATATAACACCACACACCATAAAAATATAAATATTATGTTGAGTTAAAAATAATACCTGAGGTAGTCATCATAATATCAGATTCTATATTATCAATATCAATAGTTTGATTAGATAAATCATCAACACAAGCTGCAATTATAGGATCTAAAAAATAATTTAAAATAAATATAACACCACACATCATAAAAATATAAATATTCTAGTTAAAAATAATACCTGAGATAGTCATCATAATATCAGATTCTATATTATCAATATCAACAGTTTGATTAGATAAATCATCAACACCAGCTGCAATTATAGGATCTAAGAAATAATTTAAAATGAATATAACACCACACATCATAAAAATATAAATATTATGTTGAATTAAAAATAATACCTGAGGTAGTCATCATAATATCAGATTCTATATTATCAATATCAATAGTTTGATTAGATAAATCATCAACAAAAGCTGCAATTATAGGATCTAAAAAATAATTTAAAATAAATATAACACCACACACCATAAAAATATAAATATTATGTTGAGTTAAAAATAATACCTGAGGTAGTCATCATAATATCAGATTCTATATTATCAATATCAATAGTTTGATTAGATAAATCATCAACACAAGCTGCAATTATAGGATCTAAAAAATAATTTAAAATAAATATAACACCACACATCATAAAAATATAAATATTCTAGTTAAAAATAATACCTGAGATAGTCATCATAATATCAGATTCTATATTATCAATATCAACAGTTTGATTAGATAAATCATCAACACCAGCTGCAATTATAGGATCTAAGAAATAATTTAAAATAAATATAACACCACACATCATAAAAATATAAATATTATGTTGAGTTAAAAATAATACCTGAGGTAGTCATCATAATATCAGATTCTATATTATCAATATCAATAGTTTGATTAGATAAATCATCAACACAAGCTGCAATTATAGGATCTAAAAAATAATTTAAAATAAATATAACACCACACATCATAAAAATATAAATATTCTAGTTAAAAATAATACCTGAGATAGTCATCATAATATCAGATTCTATATTATCAATATCAACAGTTTGATTAGATAAATCATCAACACCAGCTGCAATTATAGGATCTAAGAAATAATTTAAAATGAATATAACACCACACATCATAAAAATATAAATATTATGTTGAATTAAAAATAATACCTGAGGTAGTCATCATAATATCAGATTCTATATTATCAATATCAATAGTTTGATTAGATAAATCATCAACAAAAGCTGCAATTATAGGATCTAAAAAATAATTTAAAATAAATATAACACCACACACCATAAAAATATAAATATTATGTTGAGTTAAAAATAATACCTGAGGTAGTCATCATAATATCAGATTCTATATTATCAATATCAATAGTTTGATTAGATAAATCATCAACACAAGCTGCAATTATAGGATCTAAAAAATAATTTAAAATAAATATAACACCACACATCATAAAAATATAAATATTATGTTGAGTTAAAAATAATACCTGAGGTAGTCATCAGGTACGAAGGTATATTATTATTGTATTGTTGATTTACCAAATTCAACATATATTTACATCGGTTCGATTGACAATTAGACCTTTTTTTAGGCATGGTGTACGACAGCTATAATATTATAATAGGAATAATACAGTATTAATCAAACAAGTAAAATATTGTACATTTTTATCAATTAATATTATATTACATTATGTTCCTGTTCTATAATTATTAACCTAATACTTAACAATAATAAATTACTATACTACCTTGCAACAAAATAGTTATATATACCTATTTGATCGAAGTTCTTAATAATAATATTTGAAGAAACGAACAAAAGCTCCTTACACCAACCAACGTCAAACACAATTTAAAAAAACACGAGATAAGTGTTATTCTACACAGAATTAAATACTTGTTATCACTACAAATGAGTTTTTGGAGGGAAAAACACAATAAAATTTTTCAGTCATGAATACAAATTACGCGCCATGATAACAGCTATACAGTGGTACCAATATCTCATTTTCGAAAAAACGTTGAGATAAGAGGTATTAGCACGAGGGTTGCGATTTTAATTCCTATATATTATAATAGTAGTTATCCCTCCATTAAGTGTGACAGTTGTCCAACAGACCGCGCTGTTTTCCAGAACTTGCACAGTGTCTATAGTAAAAGTAAAATTAATTACTTGAAGGATGTTAGTGACAGTTTTTCCCATTTTCCGTAATTCTATACAATTTGAAAATCATATTTATATTATAGACTTTAATTTATAGTTGCTAGGTACCATAATAAATTGTAATACTTTTATTATATTATATTATACTTTTTACTACTTTTACATTAATAATCTACATCCGATACCTATTTATAGTGCTCGCCACTAGTTACTCGATTGCAGCGCTCCTTGTGGCCATTTCTCCGTAGGGTTATCATAAAAAATAACTTTATGGGAAAATAACTCTATGCACACATTTTTTTGTTTTAAAAATTACATTATCAAAATGTTTTGAGAAAATTACAATTAAAATAATATAAACTTAACCGATTGGAAACATACAGACAATATTCTCCAAATAATATTACTTTACGTTGATAACTAAATATTATTTTGATATTGTGTCATAGTTATAAATTTAACATTAAAAAAAAAACAAAATCGTGATAGTAAGAGAATGTCTAAAAAAAATATATTACTATTTTAAACTCTATAAAACGTTATATGAACGTTAAGATTATAATGTTTAAAATTTAATTTAGTTTTGATGTTATTAAAACGTCAATGTTACGAAATTGCTATCTGGGGGTCTATTTTTGAATTTCATATTAGCATGCCAATCATATTAGTACACTAAAATATCATGTTTTAGTTCAACTATTAGTGCAAGACCAAAAAACCGTATTTTTGAATATTGGTACACTAAAACTTTTGTATTAGTGCACTAAAGTTTTAGATTAACTTATTAGAGTAGGTATCTACCACACTAATCGTGATTTTAGCATACTAATTACTGTTATCATTGAGACATTTTTTTTTTTTTATAACTTTAAACTATAACTTTAACTTTCAATTTATTCAAAAATGGAACATTTCCTTAATTTGAATTACATCCAAGCTATTAACAATTTGGAAATTATGGAGGAAAGACAAGATGATGTAGATACTATTCGGTTTCATGAGCCGGAGAATGCATTCGATAGTACGTTAAATTAAAATTCACTTAACAATTTACCTAGTGACATAATATTAATAATATTTAAGAACTTTTACTACCTATGAATAAAAAATCGTATTTTGTAGTATTGACTGAAAGAGCGTTTGTCAAAAAATTCAGACTTACAAAAGGTCTTGTCAATATATTAATAGATGAACTGCGTCCATACCTTGAACCCCCCTCTAGAAAATCTGCTATAAGTATTGAGCGTAAAGTAAGTCAAATATTATATTATTATTAAGGTAGCCTAAAAGATACCTACGTACAATTTTAAACATGTATTACACTATTTAGGTTTTAACGGCTTTACGAATTTTTGCAAGTGGCTCATATCAGCAAGACATTGGGGAAAATCGAGCATCATCTTTGAGTCAACCATCAGTCAGTAAATGCATAGCCGAAGTATGTGATGCATTGAACATGCCTAATATTTTTAATAAGCACGTAAGGTTTCCTTCGTCACTGAATGAATTAAATCATATTAGACAGGAGTAAGTTAACATTATATTAAATTATATATTTATACAATCGCTGATCACATCTGTAACACTGTCAAAATACAATAAGGTTCACCAATGTATATGGAATCCCGGGTGTTATTGGCATTATTGATTGCACTCACGTTGCAATAGTACCCCCTAAAGCTGATGGGCCTTACCCAGAACACATATATGTGAACAGGAAAAATTACCATTCCATAAACGTACAACTGGTAAAATAATTAAAAATATTAAATTATATTTTCTTATTTCCTAAATATACTTTGTATATTACTAGATATGCGATTCAAATATGGGTATAATTAACGTAAATGCTAAGTACCCTGGTAGTACTCATGACAGCTACATTTGGCGTCGTAGTGCTATCTCTACGATTATGGAACAAATGAATAATGAAGGAATGCGTTCTTATTATTTATTGGGTAGGTATAGTGATGATTTATTTAATTTAATCAAAAAGATAATATTATTATAACAAAATTTAAAAAATCTATTTTAATCATCATGTTAGGAGATTCTGGGTATGCATTGAGACCTTGGTTGATGACACCGTTAAATAATCCGGAACCAAATACCCCAGAAGGACGTTCTAATGAATGGTTCTCTAAAACTAGGTCGTTGATTGAACGTACTAATGGGTTACTCAAAATGCGATTTCGGTAAGTTTTTATCAGTACCTGTAGTAGTGACTAGTGGCCCATGGGTAGAGATGGGGAGGATGAAAATGTAACGATTTTAACTTTTAAGTTTTTAACTGTTTAAATTCATATGTTATTAACCTAATAATAAAAAAATGTTACCCACCCGGCATCCACAAAGTGGCGTCCCTTAATGGATTTTATAAATAATAAACTTCTAATAAGTAATAGCTATAGGTAATGGTATTAAAGTGGTATACGTATTATAGTAGGTAGTAGCCAGTAGGTACTTACTAAAATATTATAAATATGTCTATATAAATATTAAATTTTCAAATTGTATAGATAGGTACATTTTAAGTCTAGACCAGTGGTTCCCAACCTCTTATTTTACGCCCTCTTGGTAGATTTTTAAAAATCTCACCTCACAAATTAAAAAAAAATATTTTACGGACGTCGTGGTGGTAAAAAACGATAGTAATAACTAAACAATAATAACTAACCTCCCCAGTAATGTGTACAAGCCTCCCAGGTTGGGAAACATTGATCTAGACGTTCATAAAAGTTATTGTGGATTTACGGTTAACTTTTTTTTTTAGGATTTAGCAAATTGATTCGAAAACAGTTACATATATTATTTAATATACCTACATGATTGATGCATAATAATTAATAATACTAAAATATTTTTATATTTTATGTAGGTGTCTTTTAAAGCATAGAGTACTGCATTATCATCCGATCAAAGCATCAAAAATCATTAACGCATGTGTTATACTCCATAATATATGTATTAAAAATAATGTACCAGAACCAATTGATGAGATAACAAATGATGTGGATTTGGGTATGCATTATGTTGAAGAAAATCATTTGAATCATTTGAACAAGTGAACCCAGCCTTATTAGCTGGTCGTAGGATGCAACATCAAATAATCAATAATTATTTTATGTAGTTACATAATTAGTTCATTTTTATTATATTAATTTTGTACCAGTGTGACTTGTTATTTTTTATTTGATTCTATAGGTATTATTTTGTTTACTACAATACTTACCTTTAGAAAGTTAAATAGGAATAATTAGAAAATTAAAGTAAGTAACTTAGTAACAATTAGGAACGTTTCAACTATGAGGGAAAAAAAATTAAATAGGAATTAGGATATACAAAGGATGTTGAAATGAGTATTTTATTTATTTATTTATTTAAATTTGATATTAAAATATTTAACTGCTCTGCTATAGCTTCTTTGGCCTCAACATCTCTCAACTTAAGTTTTAACTTTTCTTTATAATACATGGCCTTTAGCTCTAACATTCGGGTAGTTGTATCACTTAACTTTTCAGTAGCTAGAGCGGCATTTGTTAATTTTGATTTCTTACCAAAAGATCTAGAAAAGTAAATTCATGGTTAATACAATTTAAAATATTATAGTTAGTAAAACATGCACCATTAATATAATATATAGCAGAATATCATGCAATAAGAAAGCAAAAAAGAAGAACCATTGTACTTTGAAATATTTGAACAAATATTTCAAAAGCTCCTTTTTGGACTTACTGGACAAAGGGAAATTATAAAAGTTAGGATAAAATTAAAAGAAAAGCAATAGAACTATAAGATAAAAAGATGGACTGATGGAAATTATAAAAATAGATCTAGAAAAGTAAATAAATGGTTAATGTAATATTAAATAGTACTAAATAGTTAAATACCTATTATAGTTAGTAAAACATGCACCATTCAAATAACAGAATATCATGCAGTAGGAAAGCAAAGAAAGAACCATTGTATTTTGAAATATTTAAGCAAATATTTTGAAAGCTATTTTTTGGAATTATTGGACAAAGGGAAATTATAAAATTTTGGATAGACTTAAAAGAAAAGTAATATAACTATAAGATAAAAAGATGAACAAATGGAAAGGAAAAAAGTTAGATAAAAAGAGAAGCAACAATCAACACAATTATACTCCCTGAACATTTGACTATGGCTTGTTGACTCATAGTTGAACTATAACTTATTAAATGTATTATCACTAGATGTGGTTTGCCACAATCACTAGATGTGGACTGTGGGTAGTATACCTAGTTATGTAATAAATATAAAAATATAATTATAAATGTTTGGAATAATACTCATAAAAACTTCTTACTTATTGTGTGTATTTTGTAAATCCTCTTCAAAAGGGTTATCCAAACTTCTTTTTTTAACAGTACCAATAAATTGGTCAAACGGATCAGATTCACTAATTGAATATTTTAAATAATACATTAATTGAATTTAAAAAATAGTAACCTACATAAAAATAATAATAAATATAAATATTTACTTTGCTTTTTCAGTACTATCTTCCTCATTGCTGTTATTTGAATTTACGGAAATAGTAATGACATCTAAATTATTACTATCTTCTTCTGCATGCATATTCACTAAAACCAACTCCTCTGTATCCTTTGTAGCTAAAACGTTATCAGTGTTGTCATGCAAAAATGAAACAGTACAAGTACTTTCAGGGACAGTGTCATGACCATGAATAGCAGTATGCCCTAAAATATCCAATAGTTGTTCATCAGCTTGCCGCTTGGTCAATGCACTCTTCATCTTGTTTTTCACCTCCGCCAGTCTTATTATAATGTGATTTTGAAGGGACTTTTTGTTTTGCAGCCGATTTTAAGTATTGAAAACACTAAATATTAAATTATATCTTTTTATTTTTTTGTAAATAATTGAAAATTAATACCTATACAATTATTGATCTTATTATTACCTTTCTCCATTCAACCCAAGTTTTTTTTGGTCCAATTGTTTCATTCAGAGTATTTGAAATATTTTGCCACAACAACTGTGAATCCTTCATGGTAAAAGAAGGTCGTAGCAGACGGGCGAAAAAAAACTGACACGGTTAACATACTAATGGCGAATGAGCTCTGAATTTTGGCCACGGCGATGGTTATCGGCAGCCGTGGTGTCGATTCCTACCACCAGTTGAGCGTCAAAGGCATTGTTACGAGTATATAATACGTCATGTACGGTGTGTCCGCCACAGTGCCAGCAAATTATATATTCTGAATATCACTTTATCCATAATGGAAATATAATGATTTGAAATAATAATACCTATGCAATGCAACGGTTCGCACGGCGATATAGCGCCGATAGCACTACCGAAATAATAAACGAACCAAGAGACAAGACATGGGTACCGCCGCGCCGCAGGTCTGACATATATTTGAATATATAGAGATAAATCAATTATATGAATATAAATTAAAAAATTAGTTTAAAAAATATTTTGTCCTTGGTTATTTTGCCTGAAGATATTATTTCGGAGATATTTTGACCGGTCACCAAAGTTACCGCAGCACGGTCATGGGGAAATGACGTTTTCTCGTGTAAGGGGAGGTGTACAAAATTGTACAAAATAAAATACATAAAACTGGATAATTTTGATATTCAGTTTCAAACTTGGCAGTGCTGGGGTAACGGAGCTGCTTTAAATACCTACTATACAATTGTTAGTAAATAAACATAAATAATATCAACACAATTATCATGTCTGCTTATTTTAGTAATTGCCAATTGGTATAATAATTTAGGTCGTTTTTACTAAGTGATACTAAATTGCAGATAAGCTTTATTCTTCAACTTGATAAATACAAATTTAATTAATTATCATTTTCAATATACTTAATAATATTATTATTCTTGTCTATTTTTAGCTTATGATTGTAATTTGTTTATATTTCAGTATTTTACACAAACCATGGGCACATTACTATCTACATTCTACAGCAATGCTGCAAACTGTACATACAAACTTATAAACGTGTTCACTTACGTAATGATTAAGTAAGACGGGTTTTAAGGAATAAGTTATGATGACCAAATGTGTTAAAAGTAATATGTCGAGTTATTCACTTTTTACAATGGCAGATAACTTATTCCTTTTTTCTCATAGGTTTTATAAAAAAATGAACCTAGAATTTGTTTAATTACTTTATGTCAATCGATGTGGATTATAATTAGGGCCCGGATTTTTATGCAAATGCATATTCTTCTACATTTGACGTATAATAATTCTGATTAAATATCTTGACGTTTCGTAAAACTTAGATTCTACTGTTAATTTTTATTTTGCATATTTTTGCATATTTGCATCAAAATGCATAATAATTGCATATTTCGGGGTAATTACATAAAATGTGCATATTTAATAAATACTTGATGAAATATTTTAAATTTTACTCAAAGTTTGATATATATGGCGATTTTGCCCGATCGCCGACGTTCCTGACAAATATAATTCATTATATTAAATTATTCAATGATACAATGAGTATATATTATGGCCTGAAAAAGTATTGCATGACAAAGTGTTATTGTATGTCACAGACGCTGCTCCTAAAAAGGTAAAATATGGACATGCGCTTAAGGTTAGCTAAAAAAGGTTAGCTTAAGGTTAGCCTAATTATAATAATCTAAAAGAATATTTAATAAAAAAAAAATGGTAAAAATAGACTTATTCCCTTTTGCCCCCGGGCACCGTCCAAATATATAAAAATATAAATGGATAAAACTATGTTAGTAGGGCGTGTAGCCGTGTAGGTACTATCTCAACAACCAAGTGTACACTAACATCCAACGGACTACTATATTATGGAGTGTTAATATTACCCAGCTATTGATAAATATTTTAACATTTTAATTGGTTAATATATTATATAAACTATACTGGTAAGTAGAGAATAATATTAATTTAATTTAATGTTAAAAATATTATGAATAACTGGGTAATAAAATTGCAATTTATTGATAGGTTGTCAATAGGTGTATATCTATCCCCCTAGGGCCTAGTATAAACTAGTATTCCCCTGTATCAACTATAAACTTGAGCAACGAAAAAGAAGCTCATATAATTTTAATAGAACGAAGAATAACGATGATAATTATTTTGTTATAATTCAATTTATAATCATAAATTATTTTTTTTTTATTTAATTTAAGGTTTCAAATACAAAAGTTTATTAGCCTATAATGGTTTACATGTCTATTGGTAACATTTGGCTAGAAGGAATTTAGTTTTTTACATTAATAATTTTTACATATAATTTAAATGATAATAGTTATAATGTGGCGTCGTTGATCCATTGTCTTATATGTTCGTTGTGAGGTCGGCCATATTGATGAAATTTGTTATGGTTAGGTTAGGTTAGGTTTGAGCTCCTTGTGCATAATATGTTCCTTGTAAAATACGTACTCTGGTGATTATGGTATATTCAAGTCGTGTAAGCTTGACTGGTGGGTCCGACCATTTTTTAGTTTATGGTTTTATTTGTCTGAATTTATTGTTTTGATTGGTTTGTTTTTCCCATTGATTCTGCCAGAGAATATAAAATTTCGTTTTGAGGGCGCGGATTACATCGTCGTATGTTACATGCGGGTATATTTTAGTGTCCGGGGAGCTAACCGCTTTCATCGCCAGTTCGTCTGCGAATTATATTTATATTATATTTATAATATATACTAATATTATAGGTACTACCTGTTTTGTATTGACTTATTAAATTATTATTTGTATTAGTAATTTTTGTATAAATGTACGAACTTATAAGTTATAATACAATATATTATCATGTATAGGTACATAATATTATGTTCATATTTTTATTAAAATGTTTATATTATTATTACAAATTGTTTATTATATACATATAATTAATAGTTAAGCATAAGTCATATTCAGTCATATAATATTATTTATATTTGAAATTTTTAATTGAGTATCTGTATATAAAATTGTCTATATTTGCCCCTTTTATACAATTAACAATAAATATTAATTATTATTTTCATTATAATTTATTATATTTTGTTATGGGTACACGGTAATTACTAGTTAAGAATAGAGCACACATGTTTTCACATTTAAATTTACATTTTTTTCCGTTGGATTTTCGTGATTCAAAAAAGCACATAAGTTTTTCGGAACGAGGAAAAAAATTATTGGTTTTCTTAACTAAAATTATATGTGTATTAGTTGTAAAATGTATTCAATTTGGCATAGCCCTACATTTAGTTACAAGTACCGAACGGTTATAGTCGCAAGATTAATAATTAATTTGACCACAATATGTAGTTGCTAATTTTTCTAACAATATTATTTAGTTAAATCAACTATTATTGTATTGTAAAAAATATAGTTCATACAACCAAAAAAATGTATTAGTCTTAATACACGGGATCAGCTAGTAATATTATAAATTTTAAATAATATTGAATAATTGTTTATGTTGCTGATATCCTTTTAATATTTTGTTGAATAATAATTTGTGATTATTTTTATTTTTATTACATTATAAAGCACAACTACAAATTAGAAAATCAAACTATAATGGTATAAAATGTCCCTAATAAATGTTTAAGTATGTACGAATTATTAAGAGGACGTGATACCCGTATGCGTTGTCTCCGTCTTACAAATGTACAATATAGCAAAAAACTGTTTTGTGCGGGATGGAACCACTCCCTTGGTATTTATAGTAGAATTACCAAAATTCCACAGCCCATAGGGAACAACTTTATCTGTGTCGAGGCGTTTTTATTTTTTTTATTATTTACCAATAATTTTTAATAATTATATGAAAAAAACAAAAAAAATCCTAAAGCTCTTAAACTGATAACTTAAATTTTGTTTATGTTATCCAAATACACGGATAAAGTTGTTGGAATTTTGGTTATTCTACTATAAATATCGAAAGAGTGGTTCTATCCCTCGAAAAACCGTTTTGTGCTATGTTGTACATACTACATGTGTAAGACGGAGACAATGGTATCTAGTGTTGGGAAAAATCCGGATTTACCGAAGTCCGAAAATCCGGATTCATGAAATTCGAAATCCGTAATCCGGATTCGGATAAAAATTCGGATTTCGGAATTCAAATTCGGATTTTAGCCGAAATCCGGATTTCGGATTTTGAAGCATTGAATTAATATTTTTTATTTTTTTTTTTTTTTTTTTTTTAGCCTTGATAAATACAGATTTTTTTTTTTGTAATAAATTAATATATTTATAGGAAAACTTTTAAAGCAAAAATATAACAATAACAATCATCAATATTGCAATAACGTGTAGATATTACAACCTAAACTCAATTTATACATGAAATTAGTAACAACATTTATAAGTATCAGAATAATTTATCCAAAAATACACAATAAATAATACCTAAATATACTTTGTTTAACTAACAGAAAAGTAAAAGAAATAATGAAAATATATACTTAATTACAAATATAATAATTTAAGTTTGAAATAATAATTATAAATAATTAAATAATTAAATAATAATAATTTATAATAGTAACAATGAAAATAATACTTCTATGGTTATAATAATATTAATAATATTTTAAATAATAATAAGTTGTTAATTATGCCTGGTTTTTCAAAAATACCAATGCTGACAAATGATACGGCGTCATTCGGTTTCGCTTGGGTGTAATTATATTACCTGCTGTAGAAAATACACGTTCGGACGATGCTGATGAAGCAGGAATGCATAAAATATTTTTTGCCAAAACTGATATTTTAGGATATACAT